AAACTCAGAGAAATCATTCCATTGGCATCAAGAGATTTTAGTATATAATTGAATCCACCAGTACCCTTTAAAAAACGGAATTATTACTATTAGAAGGAGTTGCTTTTTAGAAAACATTTAACAGTTTGGCCCATATTGCATTTAAATTCTTAAAATGTTGAGTGCTGCAAGGAGGCAGTAAGGGGACTGCAAGCATCCATAAAACTATAACCTAATGTGGCCTAACAATTATGGATACCAGGCTGGGTAAGTAAGCCCATAGTAATGGTAACACCGAGATTGTTTCACATACTGAGCACCATGAGAAATGTCCAGAGTTTTCCGGATGACCTTAAGATTGGTCTACAAGAAACATACATTCTGTGTCTAGAGTTCATAGAGGCAGCAATCAAAAATATTTGATTTAGTTATTTATTAAAGGTTTTTATTTGTGTGCAACTTAGGCAGCACTTTACTTACTGTACATTCATATCAGTCCCTGCCCTCAAGGAGCTTACAATCAAAGATCTCTATGTCACATAAATACATGCACACACATACTAGGGCCAATTGTCTTGACCGGGATTTTAAATGGACCTTTTAACATCCTGTATAAGAACAACATTTAAAGGAGAACTATTATGGGGTCAGTGCTGTTCCCCATTGTTCTCCCCAGGGTCACGGGAGGGCACAAACTAGCGTCCTCCCGTGACCCAAAGCTCAGTATACCGCGAGCTACAGCTCGCGGTATACTTAGATCGCCGCAGCCGGGACAGATCTCGACATTACTGTCCAGATCCACCCAGCTGCCTGATTGACAGCTGGCTCTGCCTATCTAGAGGCAGAGCCAGCTGTACCCGCCACCTCCCGTCCGTTCTGCCAGTCAGCGCTGGAGGATCGGACAGGGGAGGGGGGAATCCCTGCAGGGAGCCGTGAGTGACAGTCACCGCTCATTGCAGGGATAGATCGAGAAGTGAGCGAGCGACGGTATGTGTTCGCTCACTTCCCGATCTATTGAGCTGACGTGTGACAGTTTCATTGTCACACGTCGGCTCCAACTATGAGGCTGAGTGATTTTCACTCACCTCATAGTTCTCCTTTAAGTATTATACTATCTGCAAATATAACATTTGTCAGAAAGAAAGAACATAGAGACACTTTATGTTTTGAAATTTAGAGGTATTTAAACATTTACAATTAGTTTTAGTTTACTAACTTATCAGTTTATACTTTTAACTTTTTAGTGCTTTGCTTTCTGTTTTCCAGGGTGTCAACTGGGAGCCTTGGAAGGGTCACGAGTTCTCCATTCAATTCATTGAGTTGAAGATCAGGCCTCTGGACTCATCTGCAAGAGTAGTGTGAAAAAGATCAAGCTCCCATCTGTTTTCAAATTTTTTCCTTTAAATGGTATATTTTGTTGAAATTGCAATCAATAGGAATCAGCAATCTAAATACTCAGAGCTTAATTTACAAATGGTTTTAATCAGTGGTTGGATTCACATGCCCAAGATTTCATTAACAAAAATATGTGAGCTTAGTCTTTGGTCGTTTTGTCTGGTCATGATGGGAGATTGTTTTGAAGACAGGCCTTTATGATTGTCATATTGTAAAGAGTAAATTAAGTGCAAATATGAATTGTGTTCCAGATGTGCACAACCACCATGCTGGGTCTTTCTGGGGAGTGTTAAAAATATTTGAGGGTCACAGAACTTATTAATAGCATTTATTCTGGTTGGATGTGTAGATATTTGAAAATATTTGATTTAGTTATTTATTAAAGGTTTTTATTTGTGTGCAACTTAGGCAGCACTTTACTTACTGTACATTCATATCAGTCCCTGCCCTCAAGGAGCTTACAATCAAAGATCTCTATGTCACATAAATAAATGCACACACATACTAGGGCCAATTGTCTTGACCGGGATTTTAAATGGACCTTTTAACATCCTGTATAAGAACAACATTTAAAGGAGAACTATTATGGGGTCAGTGCTGTTCCCCATTGTTCTCCCCAGGGTCACGGGAGGGCACAAACTAGCGTCCTCCCGTGACCCAAAGCTCAGTATACCGCGAGCTACAGCTCGCGGTATACTTAGATCGCCGCAGCCGGGACAGATCTCGACATTACTGTCCAGATCCACCCAGCTGCCTGATTGACAGCTGGCTCTGCCTATCTAGAGGCAGAGCCAGCTGTACCCGCCACCTCCCGTCCGTTCTGCCAGTCAGCGCTGGAGGATCGGACAGGGGAGGGGGGAATCCCTGCAGGGAGCCGTGAGTGACAGTCACCGCTCATTGCAGGGATAGATCGAGAAGTGAGCGAGCGACGGTATGTGTTCGCTCACTTCCCGATCTATTGAGCTGACGTGTGACAGTTTCATTGTCACACGTCGGCTCCAACTATGAGGCTGAGTGATTTTCACTCACCTCATAGTTCTCCTTTAAGTATTATACTATCTGCAAATATAACATTTGTCAGAAAGAAAGAACATAGAGACACTTTATGTTTTGAAATTTAGAGGTATTTAAACATTTACAATTAGTTTTAGTTTACTAACTTATCAGTTTATACTTTTAACTTTTTAGTGCTTTGCTTTCTGTTTTCCAGGGTGTCAACTGGGAGCCTTGGAAGGGTCACGAGTTCTCCATTCAATTCATTGAGTTGAAGATCAGGCCTCTGGACTCATCTGCAAGAGTAGTGTGAAAAAGATCAAGCTCCCATCTGTTTTCAAATTTTTTCCTTTAAATGGTATATTTTGTTGAAATTGCAATCAATAGGAATCAGCAATCTAAATACTCAGAGCTTAATTTACAAATGGTTTTAATCAGTGGTTGGATTCACATGCCCAAGATTTCATTAACAAAAATATGTGAGCTTAGTCTTTGGTCGTTTTGTCTGGTCATGATGGGAGATTGTTTTGAAGACAGGCCTTTATGATTGTCATATTGTAAAGAGTAAATTAAGTGCAAATATGAATTGTGTTCCAGATGTGCACAACCACCATGCTGGGTCTTTCTGGGGAGTGTTAAAAATATTTGAGGGTCACAGAACTTATTAATAGCATTTATTCTGGTTGGATGTGTAGATATTTGCCAAGTTTAGGTAGCAATTGACATCTGATGCACAGGGTCCCCAATGTATGAAGAAGCTGACCACTTCAGTACTACATCAACCTTTGATGATAGTTTCAACATTTTCTGAAGTAAGTCAACCCTACTGCTGCAGGAATTGCAATGCTTTGGTTCTCCTTCAATATATTCATCAAAACTTGGTATTTCCTAGTATTTAACCTTGGTTTTTGTGGGTTTTTTTTTTTGTTTCAATGTTTATTTAAGGCAAAAGCTGCGCAGCCTGAATTTATAAAATTATACATTTGTGTGTTCTTTTGTTGTTGAGCTACCTAAAACAGGAACGGGGTTCTGCACTGAGTGCACCAGTCCTAGCCCCAAGGTTAAAGCAGGATGTGTAAATAGTGTTTTTTTTCTACAGTCTTCTCTTGCTGGCAAGCTAACCACTCACCATAACATAAATTGTACGTGTGTGTATATAGTTGTATGCTGCATTACAAGACTACCACCTTTGTACTAAAATGGAGAAATAAATACACTCGCAGAAATACAATATGTTCCCAAAGTTATTACTTCTTTCAACTTTAAAGAGATATGCTACGCTTATTTATAACTATGGAGGCCAAAATATCCTGTCATTGTATTTTGTGAAGATGGTGGACCATGCAGAAACACGTTGAATAAAGAATATATTGTGTACAGACATCTGTGCATTCTGCAATTATTAGATCTGATGCATTATCTGAGAAACATGCAGATTCCATGTATGTACTACACCTGGAACGTGTAAAAGAAAGCCGTGTATTTGAGTGTCCCGCTCATATGTGTATGAGCAGCCTTGCGCCTAGGTGAGGAGATCTCTTTCAGCTTTCTTATGTTGCTGCAAGTAGGATGGGAGATACTTTACAAGCGCTGCCCACGTTGTGTTTGTTAGATACTTTTTTTTATACCTGGCTTTATGTATGGGCTCAGAGCAAAACAGCCATATAAAAAAATGACCTTTCCATTTGAACCTGCAGCATCTTTGGCTTTCCAAAATTGCTTAAAACATACCTTGCTTGCAACCATGGCAACTCAGAAAAATCTTTCTCCAGTGTTTGGCAGCTTAATATTTTGGCAAATGCTTTCAAAGAGTCTCTCACATTATATAGACACAGAGGTTACTTAGGTGATGATAATGAAGAGACACCCTCCCACTTAGCAGTCTATGAAAGGACATGCTAATGCTTACTAACTCTATCTGAAAAAGCATGGATCATCGATAAAGTTTTTGAAGATTGTTGCAGTTGAAATTTTATGGTAAAACAATAGTTTTAAACAGGTATTGTACATCTGGTGTCAGGCTGCAGGGATTCACAATAAATGTTGTCGAGGGTCACATATGGTTCCTGGTTGGCAATAAATTACACGCAAAAACCATCTTCATTATATGGTCTGGGAAGGGGGTTTGGCAGCACTGATGTGAATTCTGACCCTACCTGTGTACCTTATGCCATTGATTTTGGCAATACTGGCAATACTGCTCCCATGTAATTGTACTAGCAGAGCAGTCCCTTTCTGGTCTCTGCATAATCAACTGTATCTGGCCTTTGTTTTGTACAGAAAAACAGCATATACTCTCTATTCTGCTTTGCTCTTGCCTTTTGCTCCTTTATTTTTCTATTTCTGTTATTTCTTTTCTCCTTTTTATTCTCTTCTGACTACTCTGCTTCAACTGCATCAGTACACACTAGTCAAAAGCTTTCCTCAAGAATTCTACTCACTAGATGTCTTTGCTTTTCGATGTGCCTTTTATCTTATCCAAACAAACCCATAAAGAAGACACCTGGAACCATCTGCTGTGGATACTTAGTGAACATGCTAGTTTCCCCATTACTATGTAGGACCCAATCTTAACTTGTAGTGTCCCTAGTTAAATTCAATGTTGTTTTTGCAGCTAGCCTGTAACCAGCCGGAGCATTGTTTATATTTTCGGTGCTCGATAGGTTTCTCTTAAGTTAAAGACATTGAATTTTACTGCCCACTGCTGTTGAGTTATCTCCAGTAGTTAGTGTGAGAGGAAACAATGTGTGAGTTATGAATATTTATCCATCTTAGCCATCCACTTAGTATTTTGTCCAGTGAAGTGAGCTGAGGGAAGGTGATAAATGTATGGTGCAAAACTTCCAGATGGGTTTTTTCTCATCTGGGCCTTGCCCCAGCCTGGGGCCTGTGCTAAAGGCTCAGGGAATTTCAACTGGTGGAGGGTATATCCAGAGGTAGCAGAGTACGAAGATGGCTGCCTGCATGGAAAATCTTTGAAGACATCTTCTGTGCAGAAGACTGTCCAGGGAAGAGCTGGTTAGAGGCTGCAAGGTTGGCCATTGGAAGAAGAACTGTTCACCATAGACATGCGCATGGGGTGTGCCGAGTGTGCCTTGACGCCCCCTTATAACCCCAAGCGCAACAACAAAACCGCGCTGTGTTTTCAGTCACTGAGCTGGTAGAGAGATCACAAAGATCTCTCTGTGACCGGCTCATTGATACAGAGCACAGCAACACTTGCCACTTACATTCCTCACATAACAGCCACAGTCCTCGGTGCCTGGGAAGCTGCAAGGGAGTGTGGCTGTGGCATCCCAGGTTTCCCATACAATCAGGCACGGTGGGAATGCGGATGGGAATGTGGGATGCCTCAGGTCTGTGTATGTATTTTATATATAGGGAAAGAGGAAGATCCATTGTGCACAAAAGACTGTGACTGACAGCAATTGTGACCGCTCTTTATGAGCCGACAACATTAACTACTAGAAAACCTGAGCTATTTTGTCTTTTTGGGTATCATGTACTCCTGACCTTCTCTCTCTCTCTCAAGAGTTCATTTAGCAAATAAAACCAGAAAATAGTGACTTGTGCCCAATTTGACTTTCACTTCACCATAAGTCAAAGATTCCACCCTGAGATGGAAATGGTAACCTGCCACACCATATGCGGGGTCATTCCACGCCACCCTGAGAGGAGGAGTTCTACAGCTATTTGCCAGGAGCCCCATTTATCTTTGGAAAGGCACCTTGGCAACTTATATTGGATCAAAATGGATTGGAGTTTTCCACTTCCGTGTTGTAGCATTATTCCTGTCATTAGTCCTGATTTGGCTGGAAGGAAGCTTTAGGAGCAAACTTATCACCTGCCTGCTGCTTACTGCTACTAATGACAGCCTGTCTTATAGCAAGGATGGCAAACTGACACTTCTGAGAGTGACAATCTCCTGGGTCCCCCGCAAAGCTTACCGATTCCCCCTGCCAGCCTCCATGTCACTACAGGGCAGTAGTGATGTAGAAATCAGCAGGAGGAATAACTGAGCAGCGTGGGGAACACAGGATTTCAAAAGTACCA